TGCTTTTTATATCTTTAAGATTATGTTTCAATTTATTATGGTTATGCAATAATTTTTCATATTCATGTGCGAGTTCATCAAATGTAAAATCATCATTGTTATCAGACTCGCATACCTCACTAGGGCTATCGTCTAGTGGTCGTGTACATGAAGATGACGCTCCTTTTGAACTTGAAGCCGAGTCCTCCAAATGTTGTCGGATTGCCTCCAAGTCTCCTTGATGTGTTTCTATTAATTTTCATAACGTATAAGCACTATCAAAAGAATCAAGTTTATTAGCAAAAGATAAGCCAAAGGCATCAATTAGAAATCTTAACAAGGACTTGTTCATAACAAGCAATCTATTATCATTACTACTCCACTTGGATTTCTCCGTAGTGGGTACAATATAAGCGCATTCAATAATTTCCCATATATCGATATTAGTAGATCTAGCAAAAAGGTTAAATCTAGCACACCATTATTCATAGGGGAAATTACTGATTCTAGGAGCAATGTTAATAGCATAACCAAGACTAGGAGCCCCGTGCATGTTCATGATATGTGCAAGCAAGAAGCAAATAATATCAAAACAAGATTAGCAACAATAATAAGAACCAGTGATCTTTAACTCAAGGCGGTTAGACCTCAAATCAAAGAGCAACAAACACTTATACCAATTGAAAGTACCCTAGAGGGGGGGGGTGAATAGGGTTATTGCTAATCTTATTAAATATTAATGTCGATTAAAACTTATTAACAAAATTATTCTTGCAAGATAGATATACAAAGTGATATGAGCAAGAATAAGCAATATAAACAAAGAGCAAAGACGAATAAAATAGACTAAGCAGTAGACACGAATGATACACTAATGTAAACTCTAACACACAAAGATGATCACGGAGTTCGGACCTTCCGTCCTATGACTCCGCTCCCCACTCCTGGGGAGAATTCCACTATCACAATCAGGTTTTCTACGCTCGCCCGAACAATATTTACACATCATAATTCGGTTTTCTAGTTCACCGAAAATTTACAACACACACAATTGCACTCACACTCTACACCCTCTAAGTGTTGGTCTCTAGCCCGTATTTCCCTCAAGTGCTCGGAATTACGACCTACCTCTAGGCATTACTACCGACGCCACTTATCTTGGGACAACCCCGTCTCTCACCACACACTCCTCTCGGTGTACAAGTGTGATACGACGTGTAACTCACAATAAAGCTCAATTATAATAAAATATTCTCTACAATAGGTGGGAACTCAATGTAAGCTCAATCTCACAAATCACAATCCCACAACCCAATATATGATGTATGAAATGCTACAAGCTCAAATAGGGTGTGTGTGATAAAATGAGTATAAACAAAATCTAACTCAATTAACAAACTAGAAATAAATGATAATAGGAAAAACAAAAACGAATTGCTAGAGAATTGAGTTAGAAAAACTTCTCTATAAACACAAAGAGGTTGATGAAGATTGAGAATGAATTCCTCAATTAAAAATACAAGCCTCCTCTTTGTAAACTCAAACACCAAACTTAAACTTTGAGAAACAAACTTTTAAACACTTAAAACTCTTGTTAAAAACCCTCTTCCAAAAACCTTTTTCTGATGATAACAATAGGGGTTTATATAGGAAGAAAAACCAAGGCACAAAACCCAAACAAATCCAGCAAAAAGATAAAAAAAACAGAAGGCTGGAAAAACTAGCCGTTGGGCCGTCAGTCGACTGACGGGTTTCATCAGTCGACTGATGAGCTGACCGTGGTAGGTATTTTTCAGCTCATTAGTCGACTGACGACCTTATCAGTCGACTGATGATCACATCAGTTGACTGGTCGACCAAAACAAAACAGAAACTTTTAAAGATTGCAGACATATTCTTCAATCGACTTATCAGTCGACTGATGTCATCAGTCGATTGATCAGTCAACTGATAACATGTTATCAGCCTGAAATGATTTTTAAAAATAAATTTTAAAGTCCTTTTAAAAATAGCAAATAAATTCCAAAAAATGTAAAACTTTGGGAAAGTTTATAACCATAATTATGAACATGTTGGAAAAAGGAATTTTTGAATTTGCTCTTGCCATTTGTGAAAACTTAGAAATATTCAAAAGTGCTAAAATACATATTTTTTAAATATGTTGTTTTTTCCATTTTAGCTCAAATCAAGTTCTGAAAACTTGCGTAATCATTTTATAGACATAATAAAAGATGTTAGCATGGTTTGTATAGTCCAAAACATATTTGAATGTATTTTGTATAAAAACACCTATTTCCATGAAAATTCACAAATGTAATGTGTATGTATATTTGAGCTTATAGAATTAACACACATTATATAAACCTTAAACTAATCTACTCAAGCTTGATAGATCTTCATTGTAGCTTGACTTGGTTGTGAATGAAGCTTGACTTTGGTCTTCAACTTAAATTGCATGGCTTCATTCCACTATTCCGTCAATCTCCATTTGATATGATCGTGTAGGCTCAATCCATCCAACCTCCAACTTATTGTTTGTTAAAATACCTAATAAGAAAACATAAACACTAGACAAACACTGTTAGGAATTGTTTGTAATCATCAAAATAAGATTAGAAGATGTAGGCTCATAACATGAGACCTAACAACTATGAGTTTACAATAAGAAGACTACAAGTTGAATATAATGATACATATAAGTCACGTGTAATAAATACAAGTAACTGTTAACTTGTATATGTCATAAATAAAATCGATATGTCACGTGCTATTTCTATAGGTCACATATACGTAAATATCACAGTTTCCATTGTAACATGTATACAAAACCTGAAAATAATCTTCTAAATACTTATTAAACTATATTTTTGTTCCCATGGCATGCATGGATCCTTCATCTCTTTCAGTAACAGTCATTGTTATCGTATTTAACCACATTGAACGATGATAATATATATCATATTGAGAATATCTCCATCTTTTAAAAGCTCAAATGAGACATCGCAAAACTTATGGAGAGAGTAACTTATCAACAAACTTTTATACGGTAGTTTTAAATTCTCTGCAGCGTGCATCTTTAATTTAGCTAAACTTGTTTTGTTACATGATTGACTTTAATGAGGGTTGCATTGGTGTTCAATGAAATCAAACATATTAAAAATTCTTCTATTTTGGTTGTTGGAGAAGTTAAGAGGAAAAAGTTAAGAATATTTTGGTCGTTGAAGGTCTTATGAGTAGAATTTAAAGAGAGAAGAGGATCTCTGGCATTATTTGAAGGGAACTTAGTATGTTTCCTTCCATTTTCATTTCCGTCCAAAAATCTCTTCCAGCCATTAATGCAAATCTACTCTCTTCTCTTGAACTAATTACATGACACTTCTTACTGTATAATCTAATGAGGGGTTGCCGAATAAGTCAAAAAAAATTTGACAATCTATGAAAGGGTGCAAAAGGATAAACTGGGCACTTATACAAAATACATTATACTTTATACTTTCTTGGACTAAGAGTGTTTTAGCATGGATACTTAGATCAAAATACCTAAATGAGTTTAATTTTAATTGGGGGTAGGGAGCACTTAACTTTTTACAAATTGCTTGCTCCATCCAAATTTCCCTAAAAAATGAAAAATAAAAAAGTTTTCGAAGAGGTTCATATACGGTTCAATACAGGGGTCCGGTTCAGACCGTCCATCGTGTCGCTCTAATGCCCGCCATCCTCTCTTATCCCCATCTCCGCACTTCTCCTTGTTAGCTCTCTCTCTCTCTCTGCTCCTCACCCACCCCTTACTTCTCAATTGCCGGTTATGCCCTACTCTTCTCGCCAAATTACGCCGCCGCCCATGGCTTCTCTGTGCCTGCTCCCTCCTCTTCCTCCCCCAACCCTCTCTCGTATTCGGAGGGCAAATCCGTCCAATCCCCGCCGGCTCCACCTCTCCAACCTAGACCCCTAGCAGAAATTCCTCTCGCCGAGTAAGTTCCTTCAACACGCCCCCCCCCCCCCCCCTCCCCTTGTTTTTTTTCGTTTCAGTGAATAATGGTGATTACTTAATCTTTTGGTACAGTGAGCAATCCTTAATAGAATTGATAAAAAAAAGTTCGAATCTTGGGGGTTGAATTTGTCTATGTAGAATTTGAAATTTGGAATTGTTTTTTGGAAATTATTAAGTTAAAAGTTCTGTATGATATTATAGGTTGGAATTTTTTTTTTTTTGATTTTTTTTGGGAAATTATTAGGTTAAAAGTTCTGTATGACATAATGGGAAGAAGTATGGTCAGTTTTCTAGTTATACTTTAGATGTTTAAAGAATCACATAAGAAATTACAGAATTAGTGTCAAGGGTGTAGATTTTCTCTCGACTGATTTTATTTACTGGAGTTGTTGGTAAATGTGATAAATTCTTGTTCAGATTGGTCTGTTTTCCATTGGTTCGCAAAGTTTCATGAGTTACTTAAGTTGATTAACCCTTCTGTAATTGAGGCAGTAATGAGAATTATGGCACTATATGGAGCTGGGAAAAAAGAGAGAAATTAACAATAGAGTAAGACCATTTTGACCAAAAAGATTGACCCGTATCCATTCACCCTTTTGACTTGGATGCTTTTACTGGATGTGGGACAAACCCCAAATCACCTCCTTTGCTTGTTTCTGACCGTTTGATTTAGTTGCTTTGAACCAAATGCTTTTGAGTGAATCCAAATTTCATCACAGTATGAACTATGAAATAGTCCATTGAATATGTATGATGACGAGATTAGTTATAGGGAATCACATTATCAATATATGCCAAAAGTGTCAAGTGGAATCACATTCACAGCCTTCTATTGCATTAATTATGAGGCAAAAGATATTTTAACAAGCACAATGGTCGATTCGGTTATGATCCAGCAATGGTGTACGGACAAAAACACATGCTGTAAACGTCATGAATTTTATGTTGTTTACTGTATAATAATCCACATGTTTCTTGCAATTGTTGACAGTATCTGAGAATTGTTTAATTTTTGTTCTGACAGGCATTTTGTTCGTTGGCAATTGCAGACTGATTTCAGGACCACCTTATGTCTTGCGGTTCAAATTTGTTTCTCTATTTCACCTTTCATGTCCATTAAGAATGGTATATGCTCTAACCCTTGTTTTACTTATTCAATTAAGTAAAATGACTGTTTTGAGTCACAATGTACAATGTAATTTTCCAGATTAATTCTCTGTTGATAGAGTCTCACAGGGGGATACCTTTCTTAGATGTTTTTTAAAGATCCATATATATTATACGTGTTTGTGTTTTGCAAATGAGACTTTAGTGAATGATATTACTTAGTTATTTCTTCATTTCAAATTGAGACCATGCAGTAATCAGAATATTTCTATGGCTGATACTTTCATGCAATCCTTCTGTCACTGATGGGTAGATAACTGGATCAGATGGTTGCGATCTGAAATTTTTGTTTTTTGTTTTTTTTTTCTTTACAGGTGACTCAGTTAACTCATGTAAAGACTTGCACACGGTAGTGTGGAGTATTGAAGCTGACGTAGCAGATGGCTATGTTATATTTCTAACAGGGGATCCAGTTAGCTTAGGTTGCTGGGAACCAGCCATGGGTGTTCTCTTGTCTTCATCTTCAGAAGGAGTTAATGTATGGATGACTGAGATAAAGGTAATTCAAATTAAGGGGCTTAAGTTATTCTTCGTTTAGGCCATATTTTTCTCATTTTGGGTGAATTGTGATCCAGAATAGTTATTCTTCACTTGTGCTAGAATAGTTTTAGCTTGGGACATATAAGCAGTGACCTTTGGAAGCATTGCAGGCTTGCAGCCTTTGCTCCTTTATAACATGTCTTCACATATACATAGCTTCTCCAGTGTTGTCTAATGTTCTTGTTGGCTGTTAACCTAACAATTACAACTAATCATCTATTATTTTGGGAATTTCGACCTTAATGATTGAACAAAATATGATCAATTACCTTTATTTGTTTTCTTTCTATGGCCGATAGGTCATTCTCATTCATTTATATTTATGCTCATGATTTAATGTGCTTGTCACTATTTATCTGCAAGTTTGTTAGACATATGACAAGACATTCTTTTGAGTGAATTGTTGATAGTTATTCATCCTTTTCACATTTGTCCTCACTCCCTGGATGTGAAGATATAAAACATGTCAGCTGTATGCCCTTGTTACATTAACAACTACCAAACCTGTAGATGATGATAGCATGAGATTTCACATCTCATTCTACTTTTTTAGCCCCAGGAAATATGATCTCTGAAGCATGTCTCTGGCAAATAATTCTCTAATCCCATATTATTACCATGCTTAAACAATCATCTGAATTCTTTATCATAAATTCCCATCTATTAAATCATTAAGTTTTAGCTGGGAATAACATTGTTGAAAAAGCCCTGCTTTTAGCAGCTTAAGCAGTTTGTAAAGCGAAAGTGATGTCTCACTGCTCTGCTTTTGTTGAAGGCAACCAGAAAAAGTGGAAGTGGCACTTTCTGCCCGAAAACACGACAAAAAGCTTGTAAAAACATTGAAAAGCGCTTCACAACACTTTAAAAAAAAATAAATATGTTTAATTATCCTCAAATCAAACCTGGACCTTACCATTGTCTTAAGTAACCCCCTTAGTAGTTAGTTCTCTCTCCCCCCTCCGCTTCTATGACTCGAGACGAAAATAAACCTAAACTCCGATCCTCTTCCATTGCCAGCTAACTCCACTCCCTTACTCCACCAAATCTGCCTCCAAATCCTTCTCCAGCAAGCTCCGCCTTCACCATCATGGCGCCACCATCACGACATCACTTTCTCTTGAGCTCCTCATCAAAAGTCACCATCACCATCATCGGTCGAAGCTCACCATCTCCATCTCCAATAGAAGCTCCTCCACCTTCTTCTCCAGTCCAAAATTCTCTGTTTTTTTTACTTGGTGCTTTTTGCCGCTTTTGCCGCTAAAGACCCAAAAAGCCTAAGCGGTGCCTCACCACTTTGTTCGGTTTCTTGCTTTTGACAACCATGGGGAATAGCTCTTTTGCTTATATCATGGTTCAGACATGAAATCAGTATTACGATGCATATAACAAACTTATAATCCTTTTACTAAAAAAAGAAAAAAAAGAATCTTAGGCCTATTAAGTTCTTTCTTAGTCTAGTGGAATTTCATGAAGTTGGTGGTAAGTTGCTTCACTTTAAAATGCATGGCCCAAAGTTGGGTTTTCCTTGCCAGTTATAAAGTTGGGTTTTCCTTGCAATTAACTGGCCAGCTGCGTTCTGTGTCAAGTCTCTGTCTTGGTATTTGGCAGAGAAATCCTGCAGTCAATTTCACGTCGGCAGCTAATTGTGAAATTTTGGTTTTTTGAGGACATTGATACTGAATCACTGTCTATAGTACCTGCACTCTGATGTTGACAATGATAATGATGATGAATGACTGAGGTTTATATTAATAGTTTAATATGCATCTAACCTGATAGTAACTTACACAAGTTTCGCTCTTCAGTGTATAATGTTACACATTGCCGTGAACATGAAGGAAGCCTAAGATGGGCAATGGACAATCATATATTGTTTGTTACAATATTTTTGATCTGGTTTCTGAAGTTATTTTACTATTATTGTATTTTCTTTCAGTACGATATAGTTAATATGGAACACAGATTGATCCTTCTTTTTTCCCCTTGAGCTGCTGTACTTTTGCTGTTGTTTTATCCAAAGTCCACATGTTATTCCTGTGTTCTGAAATTCTTGATCTTCCTTGCAATCTTTTGATCATTACTGTGGTGAAGGTCATTATATTTATGCAAATACTGTTATTTGTGAATGTTTGGATAATCCATTTATCAGAATCTTGTACTTATAGGTACCCTGTGGAATTCAGTTCAAGTACAATTATTTCCTGAAAGAGGAAAAGCAGCCTTTCAAAAATATTGTTTGGAGGCCAGGACCAGAGTTCTCCTTATCAATACCTTTTAGCAAAGAAAATGAAGTACTTGTGGTTAGAGATTCCTGGATGAGAAACAGAATGCATAAGCTGCCAACTCCGTCATGGGGATCATGGATGATGGATGTTGACCCTTCTATGTTTCAGCTGAAGGAAGATAATCATCAAGCTTCATCTCCAGGTAAGATAATGTATTATCTTCCACAGATGAACTGCACAAGGTTTTCTCATCGAGGTTAACACTTAAATGGTTCCAGTGAATTAACAGGTGAGCACAAAATGCTGAATAGTGTCAATGGTGCCACGATAGGAGTGGAGAAGTTTTCAGTTGATGATACAACAAAGACTACATCTAGCTCGATAAAGGACCCTCCAAAAAAATCAGAAGAGGATTTGTCTGAAAGAGATCAACCTGTTGAGGAACCCTGGCTTCTTCGATCTACCCTTGTGCCCGTTGTAGAGATTGATGAACTTAGGGAACCATCTGATCAAGGTGAAGTGCACTTAGTACAATTTCCTATGAACTTACATCGCGTAGAAGAAAACTTAGCAACTAAAGATGAGCACGAGCCAATCCATGCTGAGGACCCTATCTCCACAGTCATTCTGATCAATTCTTCTGTGTGTACCATGCAAAGAATAGCCATTTTGGAGGATGGAAAGCTCGTAGAGTTGCTACTGGAACCAGTAAAAAATAATGTACAGTGTGATAGCATATATTTAGGTGTAGTTACGAAACTTGTTCCCCACATGGGTGGTGCATTTGTAGACATTGGAATTTCTCGACCTTCCCTTATGGGTATCAAACAGAATAGAGAACCCTTTGTATTTCCTCCTTTCAATCATGCAAGTAAGGAAAAGACTGCCCATGGTTCCATGACCACTAAAACTAAAGTGTTATCTGATGCTGATGAGCAGTCTTCTTATGATGATGAGGATTCCATTGATGATCTCTTGGAGGTCGATCATCAAGATGACTCTCTACAACTCATTCAGGAGGATTATGTGGAAAAGGACATGGGAGATGACATGGATGTCTCTAATGCCCATAAGATGAGAGTGAACAATGGTGCACTTGATAATGGGAGTTATGATGATGAAGAGTATTACGAAGAAAATGGGGATCAAGTGGAAGATGAGTATGGTGAAGATTCCCTGTCACTGGAAGCAGAAAATTCCAATGGCCCTGATCTGCCACAACCAATACAGCAGGATCTGAAAGATTCCGATGATATTCATTCAACTGACAACAAATGGTCTCATGTTCGTAAAGGCACAAAAATAATTGTTCAGGTGGTCAAAGAGGGTTTAGGGACAAAAGGTCCAGCTTTGACTGCTTATCCAAATTTAAGAAGCAGATTCTGGGTATGGATTCACATTCTCTAAAACCTATAAAATTGATTCCCATTCTAATTGTTTTTCTACTGTTTATTTTATTCCTCTGATAGTTAGCGACCAGTGATCATGGAATATCTATTTGATGGCACCTCTTACTCAATGATCTGTTTATTCCTGTAATAACCCATAACTTGGAGATGACTATGAACATGTTTAACTTGTGAAAAAACTTGAACTTACTGCACAGGCATGAAAGTCTATCCTTCCAGTAATTTCCCATGTGAATGCGATGCACATCAGTTTGTGTCCATAAATCTCGTTTCATGCATATGCTTAAGAATTGATGCTTATGTATCTGGGTGTCTTGATGCTTGGATGTGTGAATCGTGAATCTGCCATCTGGGTTGATGTTTGAATGCATGAATATTCATACATGTGCTTTAAATATTTTCTTTATACATTTTATATGCATGAGATAAAGCTTCATGTTGTCTATATGTATTTCTGACTGGAGCAATATTTAGGTTTGAAAAATGCTAAATGTACTACAAGAGTTGTACTACTGTTGTACTTCTACACAAAGAAGTGGCGTACATGACAAGTCATAATTTCTCTTTGCAAATAACAAGAAAGGGTCCCTTTTTTTGTGTGTGGTGGTACAAGCATAGCATAACTCTTGTAGTACGGTTATCACTACTCTTTAGGTTTATACCTTTTTATGTCCTTTTTTGGTGGCAGCTCGGAGTTTTCTGTCAATTTTAGTCTTTATTTCTTCTTTTGCTTTATCCAACCCTTGAGCTTATGCGGTCTTGTCTGCCTTTGTTTCTTTTAGCATGATACTTTTCTTCTGCAATCTCTACTGCTTTGGATTTTACTTTGTATGTTGCGTCCCAGCTGTTACCCCCATACCCAAGAGTAACCTGTGAAAACCTGAAGGGATGGACCATTCTCCTAACAACTCCTTGCCACCTCAAACTTATGGCAACTCTTATGACCAAACTCACCCCACTATTCTACCTTTACCCTCGAAGTCAAACCACCATCACCACACTGCGGACACACAGAGAGTTATTTGTATGTACGGTTTGCTAAATGGCACACACAGAGAGTTATTTGTATGTACAGTTTGCTAAATGGCATTAGAGCTGAGTTAATCTTATAATCATACCTAAGTTGTTTTGGATTCTTCCAAAAGTTGATAGATAAGCCAATCCATCATGTTTATCTTATCTTTATGGGATAATGCTTGCTAGTCCAGGTATTATACTCATACGAAAGAGCAATTATACATATTGCAGCTGTCTTTATATAGGGATAATGCTCATACTCAGTGGTACACATTAGCTCATAAAATATGTTCATAAAATAAGCCCACATCTTTTTTTGAAATAGTACAAACCACATACCTACCATGTATAGTTAGCTTTGATTTTAACATATGTGATAAACTATTTGGAATACTGAAGTCGTGAGTCAGGTTTTATAATTTGCTCCAATTAACCACAATTTAAAAAAAAATGTTCAGTATTTGAGGCCTAGATTGAGTAGAAGTAGCCCCTCTTTGTGTCTCGCAGATACTAATAGCTCGTTGCAATAGAATCGGCGTGTCAAAGAAAATCACCGGGGCTGAACGTACACGCTTAAGAGTGATTGCAAAAACTCTACAACCCGCAGGTTTTGGTTTAACTCTACGAACAGTTGCTGCCGGTCATTCTTTGGAGGAATTGCAGAAGGACCTGGATGGCTTGCTTTCTACCTGGAAGGGCATAGTTGAACATGCAAAATCTTCTGCTCTTGCTGCAGAAGAGGGGGTCGAAGGTGCAGTTCCTATAATGTTACACAGGGCAATGGGTCAAACCTTGTCTGTGGTGCAGGATTACTTTAATGAGAAGGTTGAACCTGCACTTTATCATATATTTACCTGTTCAAACAAACCTCAAACCTTAAATGAGAACGTTGAACCACCACTTTAATGAGAAGGTCATACCTTGTCTGGTTTGTGTTCTCAGTCACTGATCTTTCTTTCCTTGTTCAGGTTGATAGGATGGTTGTAGATTCTCCTCGAACCTATCATGAGGTATGGCTTCTATTGATGAAAGATTATATATACATGTGACCAAAAAGTGACAAAAAGTCTTACTCTTCAATTTTATTGCCCTGTACATGTGAGTGTTGTGAAAATAGTTATACATGTCATACTGTTTCAAATTTAAGTATTGATTGCTCAAGTTGACATTCCTCATTATTGCATTAGACTTGTACCACTGTTATAAATAGCGGTAAATAGGTTCGCAATAGCGGCACTAATAGCGTTAGCTGTCCCTTCCCGCTACGCTATCGTCCAATAGCGGTGACATATTGTAAAATATGCGCTTTCCGTTCGTAAAAGCGGCTAATAGTGTGCCATAACGGTAAATAGTGCGAGATTGCATGCGAAATTCGCTTTTTTACTGCTATTTAAAAGTGGTTTGAGGTTTATTTTTTTTAAAATTAAACCCGACCCTTGACCATTGCATTTCACCATCTCTTGTGATTTTCGGCATACTCCTGCCACCTCTCATAGCCTCTGGCACCTACCTCAGTATTTCCTCTTACCTCCTTCACCGTGAGCTCCTCTTAGGGTAGTCTTCTCACCGCTCAGCTCTTCTTCTCGAAGATGACGACTTTTTGACTCCTCCAGTCATCTTCGGTATTACGTGATGGTTACATGTCTATTTCATGTTTAGGATCTCTTTAAATCATCAAATATGTACTTTTAGATTTTTTAGATTTTTCTTTAATCTTTCTTTTTTTAGTATTTATACATATCTAAATTAGACCACTATTTGACTTTACGCTTTTTACCGCAATTTTGCCGCAATATTTCCAAATAGCCTTAGCGATGCCTCACCGCTACGCGACGCTATCCGCTATCGATAACCTTGACTTGTACGTATTTGCATTATGTTTATCATGAGATATGGCTTCTAATCGTGAAGCCTGAGTTTATATTGGGAGCAGATAGTGAAAAAAAGTGGTCTTACCTACATTTCGAGTCTTCGTTGCTATTGCAATCCTCTCTCTTTTGTTGAGAATATAGACATTCACGTGATATGTTTTCAAGCTTAATTCTTGATTCCTCAAGTTGATATTTCCCATTAATGCATGAACGTTGTACTTAATTCCAGTACATTTTTTAGGTTACCCGTTATCTTGAAGAAATTGCACCTGATCTCTGTGATCGTGTTGAGCTCTTTGAAAGAAGATCTCCAATTTTCGATGAATATAACATTGAAGAAGAGATCAATAACATTCTTAGCAAAAGGTCAGTACTCAGCAGTCATTGCTTTTTTCACTATTGCAGTTTTAAAATGTCGCATACCAGTTTCTTATTAGTTTGCACCCTTTTAAGACGTATTCTAAAATTTTTACAATCAAGTGGAATCTGTTTAGCCTCTACAAGTTCCCTTCAACTACGCCAAAACTCCAAAGTTATGCTACTCTAACATGCCTCCACTAGTTGAGTGCCCTTTTTTTTCCCTCCATGGACTGAAACCTGAGCAATTTTACTTAGTAGTACCTTCTTTCTGTAACGTCCACCTTAATGTACGCCTGCCGCTATTTGAACCTAGGTTGCTGCAATACTATCTTAATTCTTGTATTATACTAAAAATCCATAATTATGGTGACGTTATAATTTCACACTTAACCTAGTATCTTAACCTATTATCTTATGCTAGAGAAGAGTCTGGTGAGTCTGGTGTTTCATGTATGCCTATGGAACTCTTCTAAACTCTTTCTTTTATATATTACATAACAACTACTTACAGTCAACTAGAAATTGCTTGTTGCTAGGTTTTCATATGAATGCCTAACGTAATGAATGAAACAATTGACAACTTTTACCATATAATCAAGGAGTTGCCTGAAAGAAGCATCATCAAGTGAGCCTAACTGAACGAGAAGTTAGTCAAATGACTCAAATTGAAACTTGTACTCGATTGCATTATGGTTATGTAGGTTAGACATCAAAGTTTGAAGGTAACTAGATATCTATAACTTCCACTGTTCTGAGTGAAAAAAAGTAAAATGCTAGAATGTCATACTTACAGGAAAAATAAAAAAGGAGTTGAAGATGTTCAGTCAAATTTGTAATGAAGTTTACATTTGTCATAAAAGATAGTCATAAGCTAACTTTCCATTAAGCTGACCTGCAACAGGGAGTAGTGTGAAAAT